TGCACCAGGCCTCTATCCTATATAATAAAAGGGTAATATGCAAATTGATCCTAACAGCAGAATGACTGGGAATGACTGGTCACTATGACACACACTGACCACCAGGGGGCAGATGCTCAATGCAGGAGCTGCCCCCTGGTGATCAGTGTGCATCATAGCGGCCAGTCGTTCCGCTGGTCATCCTTGCCAGTCGTTCTGCCATTCGATTGATTTGCATATTAATGTCTTATTATATAGGATGTCCCAAGTATTGCATGGAACTAAAAATGTAAACCAAAATAGTACACATTATTTGCCTCAAATTCAAATGTAACAGTGTGTCCTATATTATTTTTTTTTTCTTCACCTAAGGATATGTTTTGATTGGTTTTTTAGAGAGAAAGGAAGGAAGGGGGTGGGGGGAGAGAGAGAGAGAGAGAGAGAGAGAAAGAGACCTTGATGTGATAGAGAAACATCAGTCGGTTACCTCACGTACACCCCCGACCAGGCATTGAATCAGCAACCTAGGTATGTGCCCTGACTAGGAATTGAACCCACAACTGGTTGGTGTATTGGACAATGCTCCAACCAACTGAGCTGCCCAACCAGGGCAATGCCCACTCTTATATTTGCTAATGCTACTTACAAAGGCGAATCATTTCATTCTCCTAGCCTGCCTTCCAATCAGAAAAACAAAACTAGTATTTTATTAATTTTGTTACACTTCAGGCTCCTCCATCAGCAGTCACAGATTTACACTCCAAGGTAACAGCTATGTTCGTCTTTGCAGTTTCCCAGGCTGTCCTGGTGTTTATATGCAGGTGGTTTCAGAATTTACCTCACCTCAAACTGGGCTAGTCCTTGTTCTTCCCTGATCATTTTATTTAATTACGAATTATCTTTTTTTTGTAAATTTATTTTGCTTTGGTTTTAAGCTCAGAAGCAACTAAGAGTTCAACATAACCATCCAAAATGTTAATCACATTCACAAATGTATCGCACTTAACTTTTTCATCTTTGGTATACAGAATGGGGTCAAAAGTAATGTTTAGGAAAGCAAAGCCGGTAGGAAGGAGTAAGGAAAGAAGCCCAAGAAGGAGGGAGGAAAGGACAGAAATTGGTTTTGCTTGCTTGGTGGGAATTTTGTTTGCTTGCTCTGTTCCAAATGTACACTCCAGCCTTCTTATTTTAACTGTCAAACTGTCTAACTTTTCTGTTCAGATGAGCATTTCTCCCTAGGATCCTCTACTACAGCGGTTCTCAACCTGTGGGTCGAGACCCCTTTGGGGGTCGAACGACCCTTTCACAGGGGTCGCCTAAGACCATCGGAAAACACATATATAATTATATATTGTTTTTGTGATTAATCACCATGCTTTAATTATGTTCAATTTGTAACAATGAAATTGGAGGTCACCACAACATGAGGAACTGTATTAAAGGGTCGCGGCATTAGAAAGGTTGAGAACCACTGCTCTAGAACAAGAACTTAGAGAACGCAACGGGACTTAAGGTCCAGTATAAGAGACAGAACGTAAATCGATAATCAGGGCATCACAATAAATTGGGGCTTTAGTGGCCCAAAAGGACTCCGTGGACCTAGTGTATAAGCAATACTTTATTGGATAAGAATAAGTTTAAAGAAAAAGAGAAAACTAAAAACTATGGTGAGATAAACTGGCACTTTACCGAGAATGCCCGATTTGGAGGTGTCCAGAGAATGGCAACGGAAAGGTCCTTATTGGGCATTTTATGCAGTTTGAGTGCGGGGCTGTTGAGAGAGTCTCCAAGCCTGCAAATCATTGCATACTTTCTTTGACACTAAAACTCCCAGGATCATCGCTTAAGGCTGTGCAAATTATCAGGAAGAGAGGATGGCGAAGAGTAAGGGGGCGCCGCGCTGCGCCGAGCTGGGGGACGAGCTGGGGGACGCAGAGCGCACGGACGGCTTCCGAGGAGCCCTGGGGGGCTCGGGGCTGCCCCCACCCAACAAAGGACAACAGCGGGCCAGGGGTTTGTCCTTAGGCTCGTCTTTCCTCTTTCGTTCGCCCGTCCCACCGTCTCAGGGTCCACCGCGTCCACAACTCAGGAGGGAGGTCTGGGGCACCCTTACCGTACAGGTAATCATACGTTCGGCTGCCGTAGACGTGGCCCTTGGCCCCCGAATTCACCTCGCACCGGGTTTGAGACCCCTGCTGCTTGACCTGGGGCTCCACGATGGTCACGGTTTGGCTCATGGTGCCTCCTCTCCCCTCCGGCCAGCAGGGGTCCAAATAGGTACGCCGAGCGGCTGTGTGCACCGTAGCTATGGTAACCTCTGCTGGAACTGGAGGGTGAGGGGCGGGGCGAGGAGCAGGAGGGGCGGGGCGAGGAGCAGAAGAGGCGGGGCTAGAATAAGGGGCGGGGCTCAGGAGGACGGGGGTGCTGGCGTGGGAGAGAAGTGGGGTGTGAGAATGAGGAATCCGCCTTGGAGGGGAGCGGAGAGGGCGGAGGGGTAGAAAGGACCTGGAAGTGGCCGGAATGGGGAGGGGAGGAGAGGGGAGGGGTTGGGAGGGAAGGGCCCACCTTACTTGCCACTACATTCCCGAGGTGGAGCCTCGAGCTTACCTCAAATTCAAATGTAAGGGTGTGTCCTATATTATTCCGTTCAACGCCGCAGGGCCAGAGGCTGCGGAAAAGGCTGCTGCTCAAATCCAGCAGCGATTTGTAACCTCCTTCGGAAATCCCTGGGAAATTTCAGAACCTTCTTGAGTGGTTGTCTCTCATTTCGGACATCCCCTTTTCGCGGGGCTGCTTCTGCGAGCTGAGGGATCCAGCTCCTGAACGCAGAGCCTTGGCGCTTCGAACTCTGGTTCCAGGGCCACAGCGTCCAAGGGCTCTGTACTGTAGTGACTGTTCAACCGCACGCTGCTGCCGCTTACTGACCCTGGGCATTAAATCAACAGAGATCATGTACTGTTGGCACTTCCTCTGCTTTTTGAAACTATTTGTTAGGGGAAATTTTTTTTAACATAGGCAAAAATGAATCCACTTTTAATAATGATCCCTTATGTACCTATCATCAGGAATCAACAATTACCAACATTTTGCCAACCTCATTTCATCTATTCCCTCCCCTCTTTTTGCTTGAGTATTTAAAAACAAAGCCCAGACATTATTTTACCCTTAAATTAATCTGCATCTCAAACTGATACGGATTTTTAAAAAAAACTTAACCACCAATCTAACAAAATTAATAATTCCGTCATATCATCTAATACTCAGTTCCTAGTCAAATTTCCCTGGTTGTGTCCAAGATGTCATTTAATGGTTGGTTTGTTCTGATCAAAAGATAAGTCTTCGCATTGCATTTTGGTATGCCTCTTAAGTCTTTCATCCTAGAACAGTGATTCTAACACTTTGAATCATTTTCTTTATTACCTGGGATTCTTTTATAAAAAGGACTTTCTCTCACCAACTCACTGGTTATCCTAAAATATAGGGATCTTAGAGGAAAGACTGGAAAAATGCTGGATTCTTTCACTTTAATTAACAAATTTCAGAGAAATGAGTTTGATTTTGTAACCTGGAGGCATTTATAGACTTAGATTTTGGTTAGACCAATCACTGTAATGGCTTCCTTTTTTATTTTGATGCAATTAACTTTGTCAATTTATTTACTTGCAATTTGTGTTTTTCAAATAGGTTGTTCCTTCCTCCTGGGTGTAAAGATAATCTCTTCCACTATCGTCTATCAATTTCTTAGTTTGACCTCTCACATGTGGACCTTTAATGCATCCAGTGCCCCTCCTTGTGATGTGGTGTTTAATTTTTTCCAATTAATTTTCTTTTCCCTAATGATTTGTTGAACTGCGTCATTGTATATTGTTTCCAAGAGATGTTGATGTTGATAGTTCAAGAAATATCACTTGAGTGGCAAGGTACTAAACAACAGGAGTGAACACCTAGTTGAAAGAACTGATAATAGTAGATAAGGGTACATTTAGGAGGACATAAAAGCAATGTGTTCTATTATTAAACATACCAATCCCATAATGAAGTAAAAATCATGCTTATTAGAAGTTTTTAGAGGACAAAATGGGAATGGTTTTAGTAACTTGAAAAATACGAATATAGAACCTAATTCTATTCAGTACCTGACCACCTGGGTTCCCTGAACTAAATCTCAGAAATACAGAAACAAACTTTAGTTAGGTGATATTGAAATTTTGATTACCCCAAATATCTATCATCAGGTAGTTATTTGAATAATGCCACAAAGTCCTGCTTTAAAAAATAGTTCAGTCCCTTTGCCCAATAATTCTCAGTAAAAAAAAAACAAACAAAAAAAACCACAATAGGTGTGCACATTGTATTGCAAATAACATAGGACAACAGTTTACGTATCTACCTAACTGAATTCAAGAAATGTCAAAGGAAGGCATTTTGCAATTTTATTAAACAATATACTGTACTTGTCCTGATTGAACAATTCATACTGAAATCAAATTAGTAGGAGGGAGCTATAGACATCAATTAACTGCGGATTTAAAGTGTATGGGGTGAGGTATGGGTGGTAGGGAAAAATGTTTTTCAATACTGTGGAATGTCGTTGTTCAGTGTCTTTGTCACTCGTCTTTAACTAGGCCAATGAAAAACAGGGGAGAGGGGCAGGAAGAAGGCAGTGCCCACCCTGAAATACAGAGAACTAAGCTCTAACTCCAAGGGGGCCGGCTTTCCATAGTGTGCTCTCTCGTTTATCACGGACAAGATGTTTCACTTTCTAGGGCTTCAGTTCTCGACATTCGCGGTAGGTGGAGGGCTTGAGCGATGTCTGAGTTCCTCATTCTCGACCTTTGTGAATTGTAAACTCTGCGCGCCCTTTCACCTCGCCTCTCTGCGCCTGCGCCAAAGAGGTGTCCCGGTGACGTCATTTAGTCACTTCTGCGCATGCGTCCTTTTGATCCTCCCTCTCCCGCGCCCAACCGTCTGAGAGAGGCAGGACTTCCGGTCTTTCTGGACCGGATGCCGGAAGCGACTGTGAGCGAACCGGCGTTTGCGGAGGTTCGGAGCGTTAAGAGTGCCTGTACTAGTAGTTACTTTCATCTTGCAAGATGCCGGGTCTGGCGGCCGCAAGCCCTGCCCCTTCTGAGACGCAGGAGAAGAAACCGCTGAAGCCCTGCTGCGCCTGTCCAGAGACCAAGAAGGCGCGCGATGCGTGGTCAGTGCGCGGCCCGGGGCGGCCTTCCGGCGGCGTTGCCTCCTGCACCGCCTGGGGCGGGTCCTGGCCCTCGCTTAGCGGAGCGGCGCTGTTTGGGGTTATTTGGGCCCCGTAGGCTTCGCGGTGGACTGTGCTGTTGACTGAGCTCGCAGCTCGGGTGGGACACGGGTGAAGGGTTAGGAGAGAGGTCCGACTGACCCGACCTCCGTTCACTCATTTTCCCCTAGGAAGGGTTTTTGAACATAACTTTAGGTCGGAAGATGTCGAAATGGGTAAATTTGCTACTTGATTTAAAGGAGCTTTAAGTTAATGGAGACATGCCAGTAATTGCTATGGACTATTATAAAAGATTGAGCAAAACCAAAGAGTAATAATTTTCTGGTAATGCCTACCAAATTTTAGACATAGTAGGACACGGTACATTTCTTAACAGTATTAAAGC